AAAGTCGAACAAAAATCCCTACAAAAATCTATTTTTTCACGTGTTCCTGATTTAAACTTTTCCTAAAATCTTGATATAACCTTGATTTTTAGGAGTTTTTTCGAATGAGCTATCAAAAAATATAGAGTCCCGTGCAAAATATGAGGGTTTTGCCCTGTTGAAGCTCAAAACACGTATGGTTCTTCAATAAAATCTTGTAGATTTTTCAGCGGTTTTTGAGCGCGCRCTCATCGTGGGCTCAATTCGAACGTTCAAAAGTAGGCAGCCACCTTAAATCAATTCGAACCGATAGATAATTTAAATTCAATTAGATATCTAGAGCTTAAATTATTATTAATTATCGTTAATAAATTTTAACTTAAGAGTAAATTTTTTTACCTCAAAAATGTAAGAAAAATATGTTTTAAATTTTAGCAATGTGAACGACTTTATTTTTCTTTATACATATATATATATAATTTTTTTTTGAAATAAACTTGCTGACTAATTATAAGTACATCATCACAATAGGAGKATTCAGCAGAAGTTATTTGGCCTCCGTCGAAAGCCCACTTCCGAGATACTCTTTGCTTGTCACGCACAAAGGTTTCAGTCGAGGCCACCTGCCAAATTAAATTTATTGTTTTCTCTTGTCATGAATCACTGAGAATTATTCACCAAGCCTCACATTGAAACCTCTTTGCGTGACGAGTGACAGAAGTGAGCTTTTCAACTCAGACTTCGCTGGAATCCTGATAAATGTTAACCAAAAAAACGAGAGGGAAAAAAACGTGTGACTGGAAACATTAATGGCCATAATTCCCAGATTGAGACACATAGTGCAACCACGAAACTGAAACACGTGTCAAGATATGTGCACGTGTAACGTTGTAGAAGTAGGATCAATATTTACTTTTGTAATGTGTGCACAGCTGGTTTATCATGCGAAAATGATTTGCAAGGCTGCTGACAATGGCATGGTGTTTGCGCCAATGAAATTCAACTTTTCTTGTACACTGTACAAATAGGCAAAATTTTGTTTAGGTAGCTATCCTTTATTTATAGTTTTGTTGAAGCAAACGTTGCTGCACATTAATCCCTTAAAACCTCTGTCGTCATTTTCTACGCTCGCGCAGTATTCATAAGATAGACTTACTTGTGACTGAAATAAAAGATGAAATGCTAATCTCATTTTTAATCTAAAAGGCGTTGAACACAAGACTGACCACATTAAAGATGAGCTAAATCCTGAGTGGAACAAGGTAATAATATTTATATAGAGATATATATTACAAATTATTATTATATTACGATAACTAATCAAAGAAATTTTGTTTGTAGGCTTTCGAATGGGATTTGAGCGGAAAACCGCTGAACCCTGATGAGAAGTTGACCGTCGTCATCAAAGATTATGAAAAAATCGGCTTCAACAAGTACGTACAGAATAGAGTACCATGCATTAGTACATCCCTATATTAGCCGTAAACTCTATTTTAACTACACTCCTTAGAGTAGCGAATGGTACGGCGAATGTTGTCAACTCATTAACAGTGTTGTTTGACGTGGTTTTACACACTCGCCGAAAAGTAATGATTTGATTTTTGTCTTTTCTTCAGGGTTCTTGGTCAGTGTGAGGTTCCTCTTCGAGATCTTGTGAAAGGAAAGCAAAAGCAAACTGAGGAAACGTATGCACTGAAGGATGGCAAAAACAACCCGACTGCTGTAAGTAACTCATCCCCCACCTTACTATACTCATGGGTCATACCTTGAACTGAACCAACTCGGGTATATTAAGGCCTGGGTCATTTGATATGGCAGCAATGAAGTAGGAGGGGTGTTCTATTTCATCTCTGTTATGGGTTATCAAGTAAAAACTTTGGCATACCAAAAATAGGCAATGTGAGAACATTGTTGTGGTGGTTGTCATGGATACAAATAATGTGACCTTTGAACTCTGATTTTTTGGAAGATGCTTTTGGGAGAATAGTACAAAGTTTTCACTGAGGAAATATTTGGGTGTAAATGGATTAAGCATAGTGCTCCTCATTTGGATCCAACTAGAAAAGGTGGAAACTATTTACAGATCAATAATTATTGAAGGGTGTCAAATTTCACAGTTGCCTTAATTGGGGTCATGGTTTATTTTGACAAGTTATCAAGTTTGATCCAGGAAGAGTGCACTAAGGCTAAATCATTTCCATAAAAACTTCTTCCAAACAAATTAGTTCTACTACTCTCCAGAAGCTTTTTCCAAAATTCACTTAAAACAAAGTTCAGAGGTCACATACCTTGTAACCATGGCAACCATAAACTTAAAATATTAGGAATATGTGAATCAGTTTTATATGTCAAGGTTTCAATCCCATATCTTGAAAGAATACAAAGTTTGGCCACTCCCTTCTGTTTTGGGCCTTAAATTTGACCACCCCCTCCAGGGATAAGATGATAAGTCCTCTTTTTAGTAGGTGGCATGAATTTTTCCCCACGAGAATAAAAGGGACAAAAGATGTGGCTGGTGTTTTCATTGACATAAAAAAGACAAAAGCAGAAAGAGTTTTGTCGAGGCCAACCAAAATGATGGCCATGACGTCACCTGCACCCCAAGGTTTTTCTTTGAGTATTTAACTAAACCTCGCAACGCCAAGCCTTTTGGACATGCAAAGAGCAAGAATTCCAAGGCGCTTAAACCCATCAGTATTATTCCACGAAGGAATCGCTTTGTTTCCACCATGTAGGCTTGTCTAACACTAATATTATTTCTTCCCGCAGGCTTCCTGTAACCTACAGATAATTTATGAACCTCCGGCAGGCGCAAAAGATGAGTCTGGTGACGGTGGAGGTGGCGGAGATGAATTTGATGAGGAAGGAGGAGAGACAGAAGCTGGAGAAGAAGGGGACGAAGAAGGGGGAGAAGAGGAAGGTGGAGCGCCTGGACAACCTGGAAAACCAAGGCGAAAGAGGTCAACAACTATACACACACACGCATACATGTGTACATGTATACATCTACATCTATATGCATAAACCCCTTGCATGTGGTGTCAAAGCAGCTCGATCTGGGGAACAAAACAAAAKAATTCCAATCTCCTGAGAATTGGAACCTATTGTTTTGTCCCCCAGATTGAGCTGCATTCCAAAGTGCTGCAAGGGGTCTATAGTTATCCATCAATATCTATAGTTTCCAAAGATCCATTAACTGGTCGCGCATGGAATCATGGAGCGGAAATTCTTGAGACGCGGAAGAACATTTTCTTTATTTAAATCCCCAAATTATTCAGGCACTTTATAGTGTTACCTTCAACAATAAATTCTGAGTTGGTCAACATGATTCCGAGCGATGCAAAGCAGCGGCGTCGCGAGTGTCCCTGAGTCCAAGGTGTGGGTGGGTGCGTTTTGGCGCCAATGCACTTTTGATACTCTTACTGCGCATGCTTGACGAACAATCGAGCACGCGTCGTAAGAATGATAGGAGACGAGACAGGCGCCTATGTTCCCTTCAATTGAAGCCACAGGATCCCCATCGATAAAAGCCATCAAAGTACCAAAAGACAACATGGAATAATATAGACTTCCCAAAATTAGTTAGACAATATACAGGGCTTAAAATAACGGCTGGACACCGGATAATGCTCTGCCCACCATTGGAACTTGTCTTGTCAAAACTTTGCCTTGCTGGTCATTTTTACCAGTAACATTTTGCTAGGAACGCTGAACCAATTTGGCCGGTGATAGTGACCGGCGACCTACCGGTCCGCGTTATTTTAAGCCCTAATGCACCATGTTCGTTTGCCCAAAAAATGTCAATGGAACCTGGATTTCAGGGGGAGGGGCGTACACTACTAATGCAAAGCTGAAGCATCTATTTAATCTTATCTAATGTTTATCCTATTTTGAATTCTTGAAGTATTTCTTATACCTCGGTGTCTGTCTCTTTTCGACAGGAAGCGTCACGCTCGGCGAGGAAGGCGCAGATGGTCCGACAAAGTTCAAGATTTTCAGGTATTTCTTTCTTTTACGATAATAGCTGCTTTATTTGCAATTGTTGTCTATATTGGTCACGCTCACATTGTAAAATAAGGCAGGAAGTGGCTGAAAACACGTAAGATAATTTTGAGGGGGAGAAAAAGCTGTAGCAAGTGCTTACTCAACAAGTCTCGAGTTTTTCCCGAGTTTCTCCTGTGTCCATAGCATACAATGATACAATGATGTATATAGTGGATCAAGTTGGAGACCAGCGTGTTCATACTAAATATGTGGCACGCACTATACTACTGTACTTCCTGGCATTTTATTTGGCTTAAACAGAACAACGCTTTACAAGGGCGGATCCAGGGGGTGGGTCGGGGGGGTCGCGACCCCCCTGTCATTCCTGAGGTCAAATGGGCTTCTTGTGGTAAAAATGCGACTGGGATTCCTTTGCCCACAAAATTTACCCCTGAGACCCCCCTTCAAAAAACCCTGGATCCGCCCTTGCTTTATGCAAGCTTTATGATAATAATCTTTTCCCTTTTGTGACCAGATTCGAATCAAAGTTATTGAAGGTCGACAGCTACCAGGAAACAACATCCACCCAGTGGTTCGTGTGTCTGTGTCCAATCAGAAGCGAGAAACCCAGGTTGCCAGGTCAACCAACAAACCAATGTATGACGAGGTAAAGAAGGAATTTTAACCAGAGTTTTGGCGCGGTATTCTCTGTTTGTACGTTACGTCACCGCCGCCATGTTGGTGGTATTTAACTAAAATATTTCTGATTGTTGCGCTTCCATTGTTTATACCATCAAAATGGCTGCCATGTCTTTGCTATTTATCTCCCTTGGGGAATGCTTGGAACTCTAGAAACTCAAAGAACTCAAATTTGGAGCAAGGATTTTCCAAACTTAATACATCCAACAATAGAAAATATTATGTTAACTAAAAAAACCAAAGTATTGTTAAATTTAACAAAATTAAGCTAATCCTTATTTTTAATCCTAGAGCTTTGTGTTCAATTTCCATTCATCTGAAGCGGAACTTTTCGACGACCTGTTCGTATTAGAGGTACGATAGACGTGGAAACAGTCAGGATTATACAGGCTTTGCACCATCACCTGCTCACGCCCATAATACAGCTTGGGCTGCCTGTGGTTAGATGGCAACAATTAAATCCCTTTGCTCTCGAGAATTGAACTCTTTCTCATGTAAAACGATTGTACTGTGTTCCTGCCATCTAACATGGCTGCCGTCACGTGATGGTGCAAAACCTCTATTCTCTACTTTCACATCCCCATCATGCCTTGCGTCTTTGGGGGGTAACCAATCAAAAAACTCTCCCAAATTGAAAGGTTTCTTAATTGAATTTATACTATACTTGCTCCTATCTGTACAATACTGATTATCAGTTTATTCCAAGTTATTTTTGCGTGTATAGATCATCAAGAGTTTTGGTCTTACAGAAAATGTATTGACTTACGAAAAAAATGTTTAAAATTTACCTTAAACGTTTTCAAGCTTATATCTTTCTCTGTTTTATACTACTTCATTTCATGTTTGGATACCAAACAAGGTATTGTCAACATTGTCTGATCAGCCTTCAGCAAAATAAGCGGGTTTTTACCCTCTGGTTACCCCCTAAAGACGCAAAGCATTATGGGGATGTGAAAGTAGAGAATTGCCTTTGCATCCAAGCGGTAAGCTTGCAATGATAGAGACATRCTCACCATTCCTCTCACTTCAATACAAAGGCGCCTTTCAAGATGGTGCAGGGAACTGTTAAGGGGACTACTCTATTTTACTTCATTTCTCATTATCTTATGTATTGAATGTTTCGTGTTTAGGTTTTCAACTCCAAAAAGTTGAGGTCTGATGCTTTACTCGGCTTCTTCGAGGTAAGATATCTAATATTCTGAATTTTCCGTCACTGAATTTCTGTGCTTAAATAAATTTGTTCGTTTGCAGTCTGATATTGGGAGCATCTACGAAATGCGCGGTAAGAAAAGGCTTTGATTTAATTTTCTTGCTAATGAACTTTTGTCTTATGCATGATGATGATGATACATGATGATGATGAT